ACGACGACCATTTGGGCCTGGATTTCGTCGAGCTAAATAGCACAGGAAGGGGTTCAGACTGCATAGAGTCTATGAGAATTCACGATAACGAGCGTAAAAATTGCATAAATAGGAAATATACCTGAAAGAACAAAGCAGATCCGAAAAGACTCAGTATGTAGACGTTCTGAAGATGTGACAGTTTCGATTTCGTGTATGGCCACAGGCCTGTGAATAGCAAGAGCTTCTGATTTAGGTTATAGACATCGGAGATATCCATCCTGCTCGAAAACTGATAAACGTTTGAAGCCCGTGAGGCATTGCGAAAATTCGTGTCCCTCGGTTCCGTTATTTATTTATTATTATGACAAGAAGAGAAAGTTTCCGCGGAACGCGTCAGAAATAATGACAGTGAAATCGATGCTCCGAGTCGGAAGTAAATTAAGCAAATTGCAGGGTGAATAAGCGGTCTTTCACACCGTTTCAATGCTTCCTGCATTTCCTCGTTCCGCGCAAGCGTACTACACAACGCTGTAGACTCTAGCCCACGTCAGTGCGTGTCACATCATGGAACGTGGTGTTTCATGGAGACAGGATATGGATTCCATAACGATAATATATATACAGTAAAATAATATATACGAAATGTATAATATATACAATTATTAATATAAAATATATACAGTAAGAGGAATCCACGAGGAGACGATTTAATAAATTATACCTGTTTAATATCATTTCCAAATTTGAACACGATGCATAAAAATTGAACAAGCGAGGAAGAAGAGTGAAGAACACTGATAATGTGAACAGTGTGTAAGTAATAATAGTAATTACGCAAATTTGAGTATACGTTTATACGAGTATATAACTCATTTATAAATTATATTGAATGGAACATAATACAGTGAAGTAAGAGAAGGAGGTGTTGAGCATCTGAAATTGAGATTTCTTTCAGAATATAATTTAAATTTAACTAGATATTATTACATCTTCGATGCAAGAGTACTTTGTCAGAGTTTTCACGTACGATTACTATTTTCGTACGAGAAGTTTATATTAACACTAGATTTACGGAACCCGTCAATTTGACGGATGGGTTGCTCCAATTATACGATAGTAACAGATTTAATTAACTTATATTAAGAATGTTAATATTGTAATCGTTTTTAAATTAAACTAATCGTTAAAAAAAAAAGAAACGTGGTTTCCTTTACTTGTCAATTTGACAGGTGTCAAATATGTAGAAATAGGTATACAGATAGCGTCCGTAAACCTAGTGTTAAGTAATGCATTAGTACAAATTATATTAAATCATCTCTCACCGAAGCAAATCCTGCCATCGACAGAACATAAGTACCGCCGAGAGATTGTACGCACTCCTTCGAAGTTCTTAATAACACCAGGAGTATTAACTTTTGTATCCTGATCGGCTGCATGTACCATCTTGTGCCATATCTAAATTCGAAAATAAATTCGTAAAAGGGTACACGTGATTTCATTCAACGGCTTGCTGTTTTACTCACATTTCATAGAACAGTGTCAGTGACTGGTCCATAACTATTTGGCAGCAGTGATTAGACAGAAATGCGAAAAAAAACTCACATATAATTGCGAATACATCGATTAAGATTCTTGACGAGATTTCCGAATGGAGTTCAATAGTGAGCTACAGTGGAAAAAAGGTCTTTGAATAACAGTTGCGAGAAAGAAAACTATACTTAATGGACGTACATTGGGTATATAAGGTTAAATATTAATGAACAATCTCGAAGGAATATAATAATTTTTTCGGTAGAAGAGCGTAATTGTAAAAGACAGAAATATAAGTTTGCAAACGTGATACGATAACCTGTATCACTTTCGATATAATTTTCAATTATTGAGAATAATATATTATTATATTATAATAATATTAATATATTATCATATATATTGTATTATAATAATATTAATAACATAATATTGCTATTAACTGCAGGGAGATTAGGTAATAGTAGATTAGCTTACCTTCGACGCAAATCATAGAATTTGAAAAATACTCACCATATATAGGAAAAGAGCTAAAGAGATTATTATTATTAGGATGGTTAATAAATTCGGTATCGAGAAGCTCTTCATAAAGCCATCGAACATGCTTAAATGACGAAAATTTTATACATTTACTTTCTAAAAGACACTAAATTTATAGCATTAGTATCGATACCAACCTCGTTATCCGTGTATAAGTATGCATTACATTGCAAATTTTTCTGTAAGTTCTGTTATGTTGCTCAGTAGCAGAAACGTCGTCTATTGGTAATTCATTAATTGCGCGTCTTATGCGATAACTATAAACGCAATGCTTTTTAAAGAATATTATTAAAAAATACAAACAGAATTATTCTTAAGTAGTATAGCAGTTGTTGATTAACGAATCTATTAATAATTTTTAACGTTATAAAATATAGCAAAATAATTCTAAAATTATTAATTAATTAATTATATAGAAAAATAATTAATTAATTAATTAATTATAATGATTAATATACATATAATATAACTTTTTGTCAACGTACCTTATTATTTGAAATATCGCGCAACAATGGTGCGACAATAGAAAGTTTGTACAAACATATCCCGTAAGTATAAGAGTTACTAACAACAATGTAGAGAAATACAGAACGAATATAAAGTAAATATATTTCCCTTCCTCTGCAGAGTAATCTACAATTACTTTCAGTGTGAAGTAATGGGACGTATTTTGAAATATGATGATGTTTAAAACATGTGGTATCACGCTTGCTCCAATAGAGAATAACCAACAAATTAGAAACAAGCCTAAAATTATCTATGATTTAGCGTATTATTGATAATGTAAAGCTATTCGAAGTTTACAGTAAATTATACTTCCTCAAATTAATTAGAATGGTAAATAGTGATTACAAATAAATAGTGTAATTTATTTCTATAATTTATAATTCGACACACCCATATTTTATTAACCCTTTGCACTCGAGTGGCGCATCTCAGTCGTCATTTAATCACATTCTAAAGATCGATGTTAATTAATATATCAAATCTAAAATTACTCAACGATGCGAGGAATGTCGAGGTAAAATAATTCCACGTCTTAATTTGCATACGATTTCTTATTTACCGTTTTATTAAAAATATCCTCCACTTTATGGCAATTACTATCTTCCTGTAATGAAGAAATCGTCGAGTGCAAAGGGTTAACAAAAATTAATGCGTTTATAAATATACTTAAATTATATTGTATTATATTATACGTTTATAAATGAAACGTATTCGATGATATTTTTATTCGGTATAATAATTTTAATTCGATATAATCAGCATATTCCGTACCTCCAATAAATAGCAAACATCGTCTTTGTTTCTTAGCGTGTTTCTTCAAAATTTCTACCTCCTCCTTCTCAACAATTGTATTCCAATCATTAGCTATCGAGGTAAAAACGAATTTTATCTGAATAAGAAATATCTTTTAATACAGATTATTCCCTTGGGTTTTTCAATGATTATACAATCAATGTTAAGTTGACGCACTTGAGGTTGCAGAATTATATGTGACAGGTGTTTGACAAGGAACAATTGTACTAGACACAGGAAATTAATACCGGAGATCACAATAAACCCGGTTACCTCGGTATAGTACAAATCTCGTAACTGAAAGTAATTAATTTAAAGATATTCCTAAAAGAGAAGATTCGAAAAAGCATTGAACGAAATATTTAATTCTCCCCGGGAACGGGAAAGGAACGAAATTTTTTCAAAATTAATTTCAAGATTAATCGCAATTGCTAGAATTATCATTCAACTCGTACGTTTTGTCATTTTGGATTAAAGCTTAGAATAATGGATCATGTCGAGATTACCTGGGTAATCATAAAAACTACCAAAATCGCTACAAATATAATCCTTTGCACGGTCATGAGAGGTGAGTCACAATACGGCCAAATACTGGCGACTGTCAAATATATACGAAGTTTGGAAAAATTTTTGTCAAACACGTTCATTTTACTACGGAAGTAGAAACACGTCTGCGCGATATGGAACGAACCTACTCTCCATTTTGCTTTGCATCGATATTTTATTTATGCATCGAAGTCAACCCTTCGAAGTGTTTGCTGTAATGCTTCCAAAGAACTCGGTAACTCTTGCAAAATTAATTGCAGCGTTTACCTGGATATTGTTCGAAATTACGCTAATCTCGAGGAAGAAAGAATTAAATTATAGGCTATAGGAAATAAAACTGTAGATCAATACAGGCTGATTGACAGACGTATAATTTATTTCCCTGCTTTTCCATCCTCGGAAAAGAAATTTCCAATTTTCAAGATTATCAATGGTATTGCTCGCATTCGTTGGTGAACCTTTGCACGGTCACTATGTTGACTCGAAGGACAGAGAGTGGAAACGTCAAACGGTAAAATTGAAACGAACATGGCATTTTTAATCATTGCAAGTCATCCGATACTAAGACTCAGCGAAGCAGATGAAACTCGATTAATTTGTGGCAAGGAATTAATTTAAGGTAAAGATATTAATACTATATCCAGGTGTTTCACGTATTCGCATAATTGTTGATCGATAGTTCAATCAGTATTTAGAAAATTTTTTCCAAAGTTCTACGCGAATTCGAAAATGCAAAATTGAGGTGTCAAATAATAAATTTTAATTAATATTTGCGATATATATTTGGATGCACAGAATAACCGATAAAAATACATATATATTTATATATATAATAAAACATTCTTGAATGTAATTTGTTCTTGGCAACTGAATACTGGTCCAATATTCACTTGGCAGGGATCAAAATGATAATATTTACGCAATTACAATATAATTATCGATTAAATTACCTGCAGACTGATAAGTAAAAAGATTAATAAAAAGAAATTATAATTTACGATACAGGTTGGAGGAACTTAGTTCAACGTGAATTTTCAAACGATGTATTCACCTTTTTCATTAGTATCGACGATTGTTCTGAAGTTAGCGATGATTCGAGAATTTTACTGTATCGAGTACATCAGGGAAAAGTAGGAGAACGACGTACTCATCATCTAAAAATTAACAACTTCGTATAGTCTATAATAAAATTCCGCGGTAACTGAAAGAAAATTTGAAATTAATTTCAAATAATTCACAGGAAATTTACCGCAGAGAATCCTGTGTAACACGGGACGTACAATCCGGAGAGATCAAACGCACATTCGACCGAACTTCTGAACATGATGAACAGCAGCAATTTTTGTGCTTTCAAAGGAATGCAGTGCCACGTAGAATTGTATCTGCAATTTATTATACGTCCACTTATATAAAATGATATATTTTTCTCGACGATTAATACAGAAGTTGCTCGATACGGAAAGCTACGTGAAAAACATTTTCTTCATTTAATAAATATTCGAACTTACGATTCATGGAACACGTCCAAGCTATTGTTGATAACTAGCTGTCCGTAGTAATTGTTCAAAAATAATATCAGCAAATGAACGACAAAGATATCGATAGAAATGCAGATTTCTAGTTTATCGTTCATAGCATGTATTGCTCGGAACAACTGTGAAACATCGGAAGATGTTAGAAATTTATAGCGAAGAGTGACTACGTACGTCAAAGCAGGATGCGTGTATGTTCAAACGTGGGTATATTTTTCGAAATAATTGAATTATCCGTGTATATATCCCGAAATATAATATCGTAGGAATTACCTCGTGGGTATGAACAGAACACGCAGCATGAGTAGAATTGCTGGATATATGCGATATTTAATATAATAATTGTAGAGACACGGGTGGTTGTTAAATAATATAAAACTATTTATTAAACATAAAATATAATATAATACAATGTGCGGTGACGGTAAAGACTACGAATATAGATATATATATTTCAACTAAACTCTTACGACTACAACGACACAATTATACCTAACAACACGATAACAACTCACAACACGACTACAACCAACTCTCCAACACTGTCTCTCAAGAAGAAGCGTCTATCAAGAATCCTTTCTCACGAATCGTTCCTTAAACATTTCTGCCTTCCTTATATATTTCCTAAAAAGCCTCCCCCAACACGACCAAATATGGTCATGCTAAGGGCCTGACGCATCGCCGGGGTTTTTCCGAATGACCTGGCCCTCGAACCCTCGGCGACTTTCCAACCCAAAGTCACCTACGCACGAGGTGGGCATTCTGCGATACTACATAATTATATTTTATAATTATACTACAGAAGATTGCACAGACATATACTCATATCACAGTGCTACTTGTCACTGTTACGTTACAGCACTAGGTTACACTTTGCACACCTGCCTATGACAGAGACCTCTAGGGGAATCCTGAGACTTGTTCTTGGCATACTGAACTTTGCCAGCTCAAACGTCTCACTCGGACACCGCTGCCAACGACCTAATCCCGGCACTGGGATACCCATGAGTACACTCGCTATCTACGACTGGTATCGCAACTATTCTCTGACTGATCTACTCTGACTCTCTTCAAAAACTCAAGGGTTTTAACACTTTACCGACCGCTAGCGATTCAACAGCATACGCATCCGATTGATCGCTCAGTCGCAGATTCTCCCTGGTGCCCCCCATATAAAACCCCTTCCACGTGTAAGGAGGTGTGGTTCAGGGAACCGGAGGGACTCGGATTAAAGTTAATAAAAGGTCTCTTGTTTCAAAAGTTTATTCTTCACACGTTATTCTGTTACTCCGTCGAGAGTCGTCAAAGAACTGAACTCTAGACACGCGTGCGGTCGTACTCTCGTCGATGCCCGTTCTAGATCGTTATGGAACGATCGAGAGCTATCACGGACACAAACTTGCCGCCATCAAAGTTGCCGACTGCCAGAGTTAGGCCATCGGTGGCGGCTCTCTTAACATGTAAAAGTATGAGCTTACAAAGCAACGCAGCTGCCGCAACTGAGCAACGTACCTCAATACTAAATAACAAATTATTGTTCATATAATGATAATAATTGTACATCGCCAAGGCAACGGATTAATAGGCTATCGATCGGTAAAGTGTTAAGCTCTGCCAAAAAAGCACCCTCGCCATTGGCAGTTCGTTGGACGAAGGGTGTGCACTTGGTTCGCGAATAGATCACCTTCAAAGGGTAAGGGACTTCTTCCACCATCAGTCCCGATGAGGAGCAAACCTCTACTTCAAGAAAAGGCCGTCGGGGCTCACCCTTGGTCTATGACTCGAAGAGCCGGAGTCACCCTTGGCCCGGGCCCGGTCCCTGCAGGCCCACTGTCAGCCGAATCCAGAGTGCAGCAGAACGTCTCGTGTTCGATGACCAGAGGTAATATTTGAACACCGAGTAATAAACTAATCAGCACTTAGGATCCGACTGCTGGAAGACCCTAAAGGGTTGTAGCGACCATCATTCTCGCCTTCGCCGCTAGGTGGAAAACCTCTAAATCCAATATATGTGTAGGATCGGGGTGTGTGGATTGGCTAAAGTAAGGTTGTTTTACTGCTTCTTAAGATACAATAAACTTATACTTATTGGCTACGAAACTGGAGACCCGCTACGGCTACGCTCGACTCTTACTGCTTACACACTATTTGGAGGACCGTGAAGGACCCTGGCACCCTTATTTAAGCATTCACTCTGTCCTTTTCCATACCCAGGCTTTCCTTTGCAATCATACTTCTTTCCTACGCAACCTCGGAGGGCGTGGTACCTTCAAACACTCTGCACGCATATCTAATCTTTCACTCTAACCTAAACATTCATTGAAATCGATCCTCTTGCGTGCGGTCTCTTTCGTTCTGGGTCCAGACACACCTTCACTCTTCCAGGGCCGTCCTTATTCTAATCCCAGATATGTAACTACCCAACCTTTCAATAGTACCCCAGGGTCTAAGGCAGGGCCTGCTAGGGTAGCCTTACCGATGAGTCCGCTAGCAGGCCCAGGACGAAACGCATCCCTTCCTTTTCCTTTCGTCCCTTCCAGCTACGTCGCCAACGAGGATACCCTTGACCAGCCCACCTCAAAACGACAGTGGGAGTGGACCTCCCACAGGGTCTTCTAGACCTGACGTCTTGCTCCATACAGGAACACTTCAGCTATCGAATCCTGATTAATAAACGTCATTCATTCTCCGTTCCCACAATATATATTTCCAAGCGTAACTTTTATGGAGGTTTGATTACAACGATTAATAGCTCGCAAGTGATGCTACATCGTCGCTGAAGGATTGCAAGATGATTGAGAATTGGAAGAGTATCAGAGTTGAAACGATCAAGCGTGTCATTAGAAATATATTCATTCCAGAGATTGGAGAGCACACACGTTATCGTGATACAATACAAAGATACTTACACGATACAAACTGAAAGCAAATGATATCACACCTATGATACTCGCAATGGAATATTGTATCACATGGGTGGATGCGGCCAAGTTGATATACCTTCGTCAGGTGAATACATTGCACAGTAACAGCAGATAAAGACGCATGAAAAAAAGGAAATATTATCACTTACGTATCAGTGATCGAAAAATCATGTCATTCTAATATACCAACTCTATGGCTCTGTTGTGGATGTCGACGACTCGATGAAAGTCAGAGTAATCCTCGATTAGATTCGACATATAAGTCGACTTGCAGATGGACAGATTTGTAACTGCATTTCGTAATCGATAGCTAAAACACGTGAAACTTTATACATAAACATTTGTTATGAAATAATTAAATTACGTCTCCTCAACATACAGCCTTGACGCATGATTGATAGTAGCAACAATATTGAAACGTGTTTGTTACAATTTCATTGTCGTACTGGTCGGCACACCAAATTTCTGTTTGGCACAAATTTAGAAAGATTGAGAAATATTAAGTAGATTAACCCTTTACACTCGAGAGGTGACTTTCAGTCACCATTTTATCACATTCTAAAGATCGACGTTAATTAATATATGAAATTTAAAATTACCTAACGATGTGTGGAATATCGAAAAATAATTCTACGTCTTAATTTGCATATGATTTCTCATTTACCATTTTAAAAATATCGTCGACTCTATGATAGAAAGTCTTGGAATTACTATTTTTCTGTAACGAAAAATTCGTCGAGTGCAAAGGGTTAATTCAAAATGGCTGTGTATGAAACAGAGATATGGAATTAAATTAATTTTGAAGACAGACTTAGAGCGGCGAATTTTTTAGTTCTTATGCGAAACAGTCCGACTTGGCTTGGTTCGTATTAAGACTCAGTCTTACCTGGTAATTTTCAGCAATCCGCTTATGTAATGAGAACAGACATTGAGCAGCGACTCGGTACATATTACAGAACACAATCCAGCGAGAAAAATGAAAGAAAAATACAAGACTGCGACATCAGCATACTCGGAATGATCGATGAAATACAAATTCACATAGGAAATGTAACGTGTTCGAGATTCGTTCAGCGGTATTGCAAAATCTAATGCTGTCGGCATTAAAAGATACATCATAGGAACTATGGATATCGAAGTACATATGCCTAAAAGTAGAAAATATCGTTGAACGAATGAATTGAGCCGAATGCACGTAGAAGAAAATTCCTGCAGAAACAGAACTGAAATTTATAAATATATATGTCCTTCTTCTCCCAAGATTCAATAAAAATTCCCAAATTCAACTTATCGAAAGATTTTGAATCCAATAACAAGACCATTATAAAATCAACATGCTTGCAATGTCAGGTATATTTAAACAAGAAAATATTTCCTTACAAGAGAAAATGGTAATTATTTGACTTGAATCGTCAATGCACTTGGTTAGTATTTGAATCTCGATCGAATTTTCGAGGATGATATATTCCATTTGTATCTGTTCGATGAAGTACTTTATCTATATATAAAGAAAATAACGCTCTGGAATTTCAACGTGACAAATAAAATTACAAATAATTGTTATATCAGAATGTCCTTTACCGTATGAAAATTAAAAACGGAAGAAACGTAGCGGCAGAAGAATAGCAGTATCGGAAACGTAATGGACAACGCCCGAGTACAATTTTGTAATGTAATTTCCGATTTTATCAGCAACACTATCTAAAAATATGTTTTATCCGATAATTATAGGTAAAGTATGTGAGATACAATAAAACAACTCTTAGCATATAACTATCAGTAATCAAAAGACTAACGTGTAAAATAGTAATAAAACGTTTCCTTTAGAGATTGTATCAAAATATTGATATTCTGTTCAATCTAATGTCAAATAATTATGCAAACGTACATCGGCAAAGCACGACCACACGTGTTCCATCATTTTACAAATTAAAGCGTGAAACCGCGTTGCAAATCAACAGCCAAAGTATAACAGTTGATATAAAATTACTACACAATAGTAAAGAATTAGAGTTTTTCTCACCTGCATCAATACACCGGTGAAAAACGCCGTAGAGAGTAATATCCTCTGAATCGTATTACATATGGACACATAATAAGGCCAGAGTCCTACCATACGCAGTATAAACGTATAGAAGCGGTAGTGATTCTCGAAGAAGTTCATTTTCATTGGCAGGCGAGGAACAAGTGTGCGAGGATCTCGGGAAGTCCTTCCATTACACCTCGCGATCGTTTATTATTCACGATGTTGCTTTACCATATGGAAGAATTTTCTCGGCGACTGTCACGCGAGTGACATAATTGGCTATAATGTACGAGAACTACCGACACCAGGTGACAATCGATCGGTTTTTAAATGAAGGTCCCCTTAGAAAATGATACATAATAGTAATTGATACGGACAAAATTATACACCTCGGAAAATTTCTAGCTTTGTATTTTTTCCACAATTTTTCTTACTCGAATAATTCTCCCTGCTTTTTTCCAGCGGTAACCTCGGCATAGCAGTCTTGTCGCAGACGTCGTACGAATTACAACGAGTTCCACTGGTGACTTTTCGTTGCGTGTATGTTCAGTTCAAGAAAGTGGGATAGAAGTTCCAGTTCGAAAAGGGGAAGTGTAGAACGATTTATAATAAGACTTATAATCGCGATTGTTTAATTTATCAATGGCTAGTAATAATTTACGGAGTCTATTAAAACGGGCGTTGCAATCACATAATTGTTGGGGTAGTCGCGCGATAAGAAATTCGTCGTAATCCGATTAGTGATATTGAATTATTGAAAACTTTTACGCAATCGAAATGTATTAAAGTGACTGATGTATACCATACGCGTATGGCTAAATTAAAAGTATTAAAATAAGTATGCTAACACGGATTTAATGCGATCAATTTCACTTGTGTTGCAGAACTAAGATGTGGCATACAAACGGAAAAGAATGCGTAACATCAATTATTAATCGTGCAGCTGTAATCAGGACGAGGGGAAAAAGCGGAGGCGATGTAATTCTGAGGCGAGAAGAGTGCTTTCGCAAAACGTGAGAATGTTTAGGGTAAGCCATAAAAGAGAAGCAATTAAGATGATTTGCATGCAAGTTGCAAAACGAATCGACTGAGAAAAGATAAGAATTAAAAATTGCGTAAAGGAATATAAGATGCGGAAGAAGGTCGGGTGAAGGAGTTTAGCGCCTGTCTTGCCAGCTTGGTGAACGAGAGGGCTTATGACAGTCCTATCTCTCACTAGAAAGGAAACATATTCTTACCAGATAAGGTCTCCCTATTTCTAAAATCTCCAGACTATTATCTACATGATATTTAATAAAGATAATTCCCAGCAACAGTTTCCCGTAATTGAATATATATTCAAAATTTGCGTGCCTAGGTACAAACGATGCACAATTACAATGACGTATCAATATCGATGACGTAAAAATTTTACTGTATCGAGAACATCAGGGTAAAGTAAGAGAACGACGTACTCATCATCTAAAAATTGATAACTTTGCATAGTCGAAAATTGGAAATTAATTTAAAATATTTGATAGGAAATTTACCGCCGAGAAGCCTGCGTAACTCGGGACGAATAATCCGGAGAGATTATACTCGCATCCGACCGAACTCCGGAGCATGATGAACAGTAACAATTTCTGTGTTTTCTAATTTATTATCCGCTCGCTCGAATAATGCCATACATTTTCTTCGTCGATTAAAATCGAAAAAGCGAGATATGAAAAAATATTTTATTATTCGAAATTACTCGGACTTACGATTCGTGAAACACGTCCAAGCCATTGTCGATCACTAGCTGCCCGTGGTAGTTGTTCAAAAATAATATCGCCAAATGAGTAAAAGTAACAGCGATAGACGTAGCGATTTCTAGTTTATCGTTCATAGACCGAATTGCTCGGAACAACTGTGAAGCATTGGAAAAAGGTGGACGTTTAATGTTACAACAGCAAGTGACTATATACATAAGAGCTGGATGTATATATGTCCAAACATAAATATTTTTCTTTAAATAATTCAATTATTCGTGTGTCCAAAAGGTAATATGTATTTAGAAGCGTGATTGTCATGGAATTTCAATTAGAACAATTAATCGCTGGCATATGCTAATGTTTTGTCGCTAAAGAAAATGCTAGATCATTGAGTATTGGAGGAGTATCACTGGTGAAAGATATCATGCATTTTCGTCAAAATATATTCATTACAAGATATGGGTAAGAATTTCGCGATAATAACTTGAAAGAACAAAATGATACTCACACGATAGAAACCGAAGGCGAGTGAAATCACAGCTACAATACTTGCAACCAAATAATGTATGATATTAGAAGTTGTCTGGTAACGATTCATCTTCATTGGGTGATCGCATAGCACAGAAAAGGGATGAGTGTAAAAAAGGAATATTATCGTTTAGGTATATGTGAGTGAAGTATCGTGACATTCTAATTTACCAACTTCATGACTCTATTATGGATGTCCACAACTCTATGGAAGTCAGAGTAGTCCTCGATTACATTTGACATACCAGTCGACTCACAGTTAGACAGCTTTGTAACAGCGTTCCGTATTCGATAGCTAAGAAATATAAAACTCTTTACAGAAGAAGCTGTTGTGAAATAAATTATATCTCTCCAAAATATAGCCTTCAGAAAATTGACAACAGTAACAATATTGAAACGTATTTGTTATAATATCGTTGTCATACTAGCTGACAACTCTCGATGTGGCACAAATATAGAAAGATTGAACTATATTAAGTAATAATTAAGGGACTCAGAGTGGCGAATTTCT